GGAAATTAAGTCACCTCATCCTCCTCATTTCGTTCTTCGAGTCTTTACTATATTATGTATAAGAAAAAAAAAATTACATAAAAATACCAAATCAAAAACACATTGCTGCAGAAACTCAGCAGGTATGGCAGCAGCTACGGGGAGAAAACAGAATCAACATTTTGAATTCTGAAGTCACATGACATCAGGTTATCATCCATCGGGTCCAACAGAAATCACGAGGTCACCTGACGAAGGAGCAGCACACCAAAAGCTTGTGTTTTCAAATAAACCTGTCAGTCTATAACCTGGTGTCATGTGACTTCTAACTTTGTCTCACTCAGTCTAACACAAGCACCTCCACATCATTTCGAGTTTTGATTGAAGAATCACCAGATTGGATATGTTAACTGTTTTCTCCCCACAGATGCTGCCAGACTTGCTGTTTTTCTTCAGCAGTCTCTGCAAATGCTGGAGATTTGAAATGAAAACGGCTCTTTGCTTCACTTTATATTAAAAGCACTTAGGAGACCAACGAGGAGTTCCAAACCTCAGCATACAGGAAAGCAACCCACACTGACCAAATCCTCAACTTCCAAGCAACCACCCCAATGTCCACAAACAAAGCTGTATTAGGACACTATTTAAACCAGTCACCACTCACTGCAACACGCCAGAAGTACGCAGGAAAGAGGAAGTGCACCTGTACAAAATCTTCACTATGAACGAATATCCTCGCAAGTTCATCCGCAGGTGTCTACAAAATAGACAAGAGGACACAATACGCCCCAACACATTGGCCACACTGCCCTACATCAAGAATATATCAGAACTGACATTGAGGCTCCTACAACCACGAGTAATCATGGTAGCACACAAGCCCACAGCCACTCCACAACAAACACTCATAAGGATTAAAGACCCCATTCCCACAACATGCAGAACCAACGTGATTTACAAAATGCCATGCAATGACTGCCACAAACATTACATGGGACAGACAGGAAGGAAACTAGCCATCAGAATACATGAACATTAGCTAGCAGCAAAACGACATGACAAACTTTTCTTAATATCAGTACACTTTGACAATGAAGGCCATCAGTTTTAACGTGACAACGTAACCATAGCTGCCCAAGCCAACATAGACACACACGGGAATTCCGACAGCATGGTTCTCAGCCATTATGCAATCAACAAACAAATAGAATTGGACCCCATATACAAACCCATACAGATCAAAACGGAAATGACACTACTCACCATAACAGACCAGACAGTACAAATTCCAAGCAGAGTAGAACAACATCACTGATGATGTTATAGAGCACTGTGATGAAACGTCTGAACGAAAACAAGCCAGCTTGGCGAGCAAGTCAACAACCTCACCAAGATATTGAAGCAGCCAGTGTCCAAATGGAGAAAAATAATCTGGAAAGCATTTAGGCCTGGCAATGACTAGCTCTAACACGGAAGTGTCAAACCATCACCTCCTGCTGTTTGATGGCATTCTCATTAATAAATCTTAAACCATCAATGTCACCATTGATCAGAAACACAACTAAACAAGCTGTATATATAGTGCCTAAGTGAAAAGGGTGGAGATTGTAAATCCTTTAGTACATAGCTAACCACCCGATTCCCAAAGCCTGTTCACCATCTACAACGCACATGACAGTGTGTTAGAAAACTCTGCATGAAATTACCATCTCTTTGACATGACGAGACTTTCAGGTGCAGCCCAAACAGCCCTCAAACTCAATACCATCAGGAAAAATCAGAATGCTTGACTGATACCCCACCTTGCATACTAAATATGAATATCTACAGAATGCACTGCAGTAGGGTGCACTTGCATTGAGTATTCCCAGAGACGTTGGTGTTTGCTGGCTAAAGATGGAGGCATGAAGGAGCAAGTGCCCAGCTGAAGCTGCCATGCTACAGCTATGTCACACATGCTTGGAAATGTCTTCCTGTTTTTTGGACGTGGAAGGCAATGGAAAATTATTGCCAAAAATTAAAACAAAAAAGGGATCAGTTTGAAGCATTGGACAAACAGCCAATGATCTACTTTCTGCTGGAGGATATATACCACATCACATCAAAGGCGACCACAATGAGATAGGAAAGTTTTACCATTGGAACAACATCCCCCTAACTAATATTACATTCACTGCTGCAATAAGTCAAACAGTTGTGTAAAAATTAAATTGCAGAATTAGATAATGGTAATATTAGCTGACAAATATAGGGTTCACTGGGATGTCTGATAAAGGAGAGAATTAGTGAGGAACAAATCTGCAGAAATGTCCTTTAGGAAAATAGACAAATTCAGATATGTCCCTCTCTTTTAATCCCTTCTGTATTAAAACTCCTTTTGAAATGTCTGTCTGCAAGGTTTATACAAAAAGGTTGCTTTTTTTTCCCCCAAATATACCAATGTCTAGATTGTACCATCTTGGTGGATATGAGAAAATTTAATATGTCATCACAGATTCCATTACAAAGCAGTAGTAACCTAATTTTGTTAATTTAGGAACCATATTTCTGAAGTTTAAGTTAGCCAGCAAAACCCAAGCCAAGTGCCACGGTGACAGTGCTTAAGCAGGCATCATTTCATCTGTTCTTGCAACAGAGAAGAAGTGAATATGACTGTACCACTGACTTGAAAAAAGCAGCAGGTCACGTTGGCCATCCCTATTAATTAATTATTCTGCCTGGGTAGTGAAAATGCAGCTATTTACTTAATCAATGACTCAACCAAATGTCATTCCTACTGATTCGCTTATAAATTAATAGCAAAACCAGCTAATGTGCAGGTGCTAATTTATTTAAACTGTTCTCAGCAGATTTCTTGGAGCTCCATAATCAACATCTGGCACTTAATGTTAGTTGTCAATTTCACTTAGACACGCTTGTCTTAACAACTTTATTTATTATAAATGAGTAGAAATCATACTATCATGAATAATTATGTAATGGATGAAATAGGCAAAGTAAATCAATTAGAAAAAAAAGCATACCAGTATGTTTAAAGACAAGTTTAACAGATTTCTTCTGATTGTCATCTTCAAATTATTCTCTCATTTTGAAAATACTTCTTAGAATAGGTTTTACTGCAGCACAGCAAAGCTACTTGCAAAGAAGCATTCCACGTTACTCACCTATAGATTAAAGGGTTTAATGAAAATTAAAGAGACAACTGCTACTGGTAGAAAGGCCCTTACTTCAAAAAGCAAGAACTGTTATCATTCCAAGAGGCTGTCCATCAGTCACAAGTACCCCCCAGTGCATGAAATCCGAGTCGCTGTAATGTACGAGTAGGAAGCAGCACACTAGCTTTGTGGAAAGTGAAGTTCGAAACCAATGCAAGAGAGTGCAGTGAAATATTGCTGTTGGGGAGCAGTTTTTACAGAAAGTATTTTATCATTTGCCACTCACTATTTAAATTTTTTTTTGTAGTAAACTATCTGTAAATCCTCAATTCAGAAGATCTACCCTGGTCATTACTGATTTTGTAAGCAAAAAAAATTATAAACCATTCTCTCACTGACTATACTAAAAAAAAGTACTTCTACCGTTTTTTTTTTACAGAGCAAATAAATACATATTATAACACATTATAATTCAACACTAATGTAATTCCCTATGAATATTTTAAATCAGAATTTCAAATTTAAGTTTACCTTAGTTAATTTAGAAATGCTTACTTTAGAATGGAGGGAAACATACGAGACTAGAAAAATACCGTATCTGCCAGATGCCCTCAGGTGAACTCTATTTCTTGCATTCAGCAATTTCTATCAGACTTGCAATGTGTGACAAAAGCAAGCTCAACCACTTAAACATTGTAAGTACATGAACCAAGGCTCACTGCAGACAATTACATTAAAAAGAGAGACAGGAAATGTAGATCCAGGAATGAAACAAAAACAGAAAATGCTGGAGAGACTCTCAGCAAGTTACTACACAGCAACCAAGAGAAAAGTTAATACACCAGGCATACATTTTCCAGAGCAGGGCCCAATTTGTTGAGCATTTCCAGTATTTTCTGCAACTGGAAAGTACAGTTGCAAAAACTTCTTTTGAAAAAATGTACTTAGGTTTTTCATGTTATTTTCAGCAAGCATAATATGACAGCAGCAAAAATATAGCAGATCTTTCTCTGTTAATAAGATGTGTTGGTGACGGTGTTTCACGCAACTGCTATGCAGTAGCAACACAAGCAGCTTACATCACTAACAGGATGCTGCCATCAAGCCAAAAAGACACACTATCTATCACACAACACGAGTAATGAGGTATATGAATTTCAGTGCTGGTGTGATGTCAGGTACGTAGGTTTATGTCCTAAAGACTGGCAGCAGATCACATCAAATAGCATGCCTCTTTAGTTGTTCGCACCAAGGTAGAGGCTATACCCAGCCAGCCCACACTTGCAAAACTCACAATAGTGCCTAACATTAGATGCACTTGAACAATACTTGTTGGATAATACTGAATGTGAGATGAATTACACTAACAACCATTTCAAGATTGCCAGCCAGGCTCTCAGTGTGGCGCACCTGCATATGCTGGCAGCTACACACGATTGTACACAGTCCTGCTCTTTGCAGGCAGAAAGAACATAGACATACATTGCACTGTTTCAACAAAACAAAATAGGTCACAGCTATTCGCTGGTTCATTTCTTGGGGCAATGCCCTGACCAGAGTTTATTTGTTTAAATTTTGAATCAAGTGAAGTCTGGTTGTGAACTATGGATCAGTATTAATTGGTGCACTCTCCACAGCAACGCCTCAACCAATCAGCACATTCCTCTCATGCAGTTCAAGCATTGTGTATTCCCCACCTCAAATTTGTATTCTTGTAAAATGTCCGGATGAGTGCAAGATGAAAAACCTTGGTAAAATGAGTATTGCTGGAAAAAAAGTTCTGTACTATCAAATGACTATTTAAAAATGTGTGGGGTGGAAAGGGTGGGTATCAAAATATATCTGACTATATAAAGACCAACTTACATCAATATCCTCCTGATTAATTGTTTCGGGATCCTCACCCATCATGTTAGCGAGGTGCCTTTTCCCAATGTTGAACTCTTCAATCTGTTGTTTAATGAATTCTTCAGTATATTTCTCATGGAATGTAGCAGCCATGCTCCTCTTCTGCAAGGAGGAGCTTGTGCTGATTAACCTTATGAGCTAGAATAAAAAAAAAAATTATGATTTAATTTACTGATCTGAAGTTCATAGAACCATAGAATCACTTCAGGGCAGAAAGACAGCATTCGCACCATCAAGTCTAAACCCACCCTCTGAAGAGCATCCCACCAAGACCCACTCCACCCCCTCATCCCCGTAACTCCACATATATCATGACTAATCAATCTAACCTGTATATCCCTAGACACTATGGGACAATTTTTTTTTTGAGCATGGCCAATCCACCTAGCCTGCACATCTTTGGATTGTGGAACGAAACCAGAGCACCTGGAGGAAACCCACATAGACACAGGGAGAACATGCGAACTTCACAGTCACCCAAGGCTGGAATCAAACCCAAGTCCCATGTGCTGTGAAGCAACAGTGCTAACCACTGTACCACCATGCCACCTGAAACGGAGGATGGTTTGTTCATTTTCAATTTATATAATTGATTTGGATTTCTGATCAAAATAATTTATACCATCTAAATCAATCTTTCCAGTTTTCCTCTCGAGATGCAGATCATGATTGAGATTGAAGCTTCTCAACCAAACGTACGAGAAAACTTTCCACAATTCAATAAACTGAAACTTCAGTCTTGAAGCCCAAAGTGGTATTGAAGGAACTGGAAGTTTCACATTAAAATAGTAGGGCATAAACCTTTGCGTCTGATGAAATACTGATGAACGAGTAAGCAGAAGAATCTTTACAGCCTCGGTGGTTATGTCTGTTAGGTGAACTGGCAAAGTTGTACACTGTACTTTGTTTTTCACCACTGAGATACTGAAACTATTTAACATGACATCTGCAAGAGTGTGACAGAGAAAGAACCTCTATTAGCCAGCACCGAGACTTTTTTCATTAAATCAGTGCCATCTAGAAACATCTTGTGACAAGATTCCAGTATCCTTTGGAACAAAATATGCTTAGTTTTACTGCTGCTGTCTCTCTCAAAAAATACAGCATAAATACCTAGTGCATAACACTGAAACTCATATCGGATAAAGTTAGTAGGCAGTAAAACGTTACTGAAGAGCTCAAGTTTACAAATATTTCTAGCATTTATGCATAATCCTTAATTCACAATGGGTTTTTGTTTTATCTATTTAAAATAAAAGATTGTTTTCTGTTAGGAATCAGCTATGGCTCAGTGACAACACTAGATCAGCACGTTGTAGATTCACACTTTAGCATACATTCTATGCTCAAAATTCATGGCAGAGCAGAGGGAGTCTGCATTGCTAGACAGTGGTCTTTCAGACAAGGAGTTCAACAAAATGTCCAGTCTGACCCCTCAGGTGGATTTATTCCAAAAACGGCAAGGCTGTCCTCCTGGTATTCCAGCCAATATTGATCCCTCAAGTAACAAGCTGATTTGTTTTAACAATGTTAACAACCTGCGGGATCTTATTGTGTGTACAACGGTTGCTGTGAGAAGTACTTTAGCAAATATGAACAGGCATGTATTGCCTTTCTCACCAAGTCTGTTCTTCACGTATCTTCAGCTTAGCTTCTAAACACTAAGCCAAAGGGTGCCCAGAATTTCAGCCTTTACCTCAAAAATTTCAATATGTCAAGTGTCATGACCTCAATGGAGACATGCAACTCTTTTAAAAATGTCTGAAAAGCCAAGGAATGGAACACATCTCCCGCACCTCATCCTTCACACCCCGTCCACGCAATAAAAACCAAAAAAGAATCCCCCTCGTCCTCACGTACCACCCCACCAACCTCCGGATCCAACGCATCATCCTCCGACACTTCCGCCATCTGCAATCCGACCCCACCACCAAAGACATCTTTCCCTCCCCACCCTTATCTGCTTTCCGGAGGGACAACTCTCTCCGTGACTCCCTTGTCCGCTCCACACTCCCCTCCAGCTCCACCACACCCGGCACTTTTCCCTGCAACCGCAGGAAGTGCTACACCTGCCCCCATACCTCCTCCCTCACCCCCATCCCAGGCCCCAAGAAGACTTTCCACATCCAGCAGATGTTCACCTGCACATCTGCCAATGTGGTATACTGCATCCGCTGTACCCGGTGTGGCTTCCTCTACATCGGGGAAACCAAGCGGAGACTCGGGGACCGCTTTGCAGAACACCTACGCTC